CTTAAGCACTGACACATTCTATGTGGAAGAAGGCAATACATTGTTTTGACCTGTACGTAGCTGCCGCGCTGAAGACTTTCGATCGTTTTTGCCAGTTTGGCGCCGGCTGTGGAGAGTGGTAATATTGCTGTAGCTTGTCCAGCTGGTATGAACTGTTGTTTTAGCAGAGGTGACAACGACGAGCTTTAAGGGATCAGAGATAATTTTGACTTTTGAAATTCTGCTTTTTGTTCTTCCAGTAAAAATTTCCTCAGTGATTATTCCCTTTCGTTCTTTCATTTGCAGAATAATTTTTGCGAATTTTTTCCATGCGAGGTAAATAAAGGCTTTATTATTTCGTTGCTGTGAGGGGGAGTGCATACGTTTGATGGAGTAAACAACTCGAAGAACAAAGAAAGCGTTTGCATGGAACACAGCCAGAGTATTTCCCCCCAAAGTGTCATTAGGTTGACCTTAAAATTCTAGTAATTTTGTTTCTGGTTTAACCTCAGCACATTTCTCTCCAGTACATGATCCTGCAAAAGCACATCTTTTAAATATAGTTTTTGTTGTAAATGATCGCGTATAACGCAAAGTCTTCCTTTGACACGTTAGCCCTAACTTAATGCTTCTGATCGTGATGACGCCGAGTGATTGTTTGATAAGTTCTGTGAGCTGTATACATGCTTCTTGCCCTTGACGTGCTATAAGTAGTCGAATCACATTCAACATGGAACAACTTTTTGTTATTTCCTTTGCTTTTCGACACTGATGAGCTTGTGCATAGATTCATGTGACTTGGATACGTCCTTTTGAAAAGATGATAAAATTTAAAGTGATAGCTGTTAGCAAGACTTCATGATACTTTTGTTTAATTTTTGAAAAGAGTCATTCCCTTTTTTTTGATTTGAAATGATTTAAATTAGATTTTGTCTTACACAAAAAGTACTTCTCAATGCTTTTTTTATTTAAAAAAAGTCTCAGTAAGAAACAGCGACCTATTTTTTCAAGAAGACCTATTTTTAACAGTATGTGTAATACCGATTACAACAATTAAATGAAGAACGCAGATGACCAATAATTTTTGCCAAGCTAAGGCGCATTAAGAGTTGACTAGAGCTTCCTTGCAAAAATAATACTGAATGAATTCACAAAGAGGTTTAGCTAGACACGTCAAGCTTAGAACTGTGACTATTTCTCCTTGTTGCTAAAGTTTTTCCTGAGTGACAAACTCAAATAAAACTACCTCTCTTAGAAAGATAATGGTTTCTGAACTGTTAATCTGCTTTTCAAAAACGTAGAATGGTTCTACACAAACTTCAAATGCAAAAACTGGCTTTTTTCTGTATAATTAAATTCCTCCTTGAATGCAATTTACCTTGCATTTTAAGTATTCTCGTTTTTCGTCAAGTTGTTTTTAGCTGCAATATTCTGCTCCTATGCTTCCCCAGGCTCGGATTAAAATTTTGCGATCACTGTCGACGTAGTATGCAATTTCTTTGTTTGGGAAGGAAGGAAATTGAGTTCTATTGCTAGAACATTTGTGGAGATGGAAGTTCACAAAAGGTGGAAGTTCCTCTTCGATCTTTTCTTTGCTGTAGTATTAAGCCGTATGACCCTCGTCTGTGACGGCAGTTACACAGTGCCAAAGCTGGCAGGGTTAAACTCAGTTGGCAGCCGTTGCTGTCGTCGTTGTTGTCTTTACGGTCAATTGTAGCAATTGTTTTTGTCAACAAGAAACCAACGGGTTTTACTGCACCAAAGAAAGTACTTTCTGCGCTTCTGAACTTGGACGTAGACTTTTGTGTTGGTGGATTCT